TTTCGGCCTGGCACCCTTTTTCCAAACCCCTCCTTTGGTACCGTAGGATTTTGGACAACTGGCGCCATGCTGCAATTCGGGCGCCACTTTCAAATACTGCATTTTTCAGTTCTGCCCTCGGGGCCTTCGCAGAAATGCCCCCGGTACCGTACGTGTCACCGGTACTTATGCCGGCTCCCCGTACGGTACGGGGGGGAGTCTCGACCAGTTCTCTGCTGCTGTACTCGTACTCAGTGTGACTTGCCGTTTCGGCATTCGGAATCCAAGACTTCGACTTTGTGCCTTGCCACTGTGTCTGCGTCCGACCCTCAGTCCGAGTCCGTCGTGTCGAGTGAGTGAGTGTGTGTGTGTGCTCTCACTCTCTCCCTCTCTCTCCCTCTCTCTCATCTCCCTCGTCTCACCCTCAGCCTCACGCTCGTTGCACTCCTCCTCCTCCTCCTCCTCCTTCTTCTTCTTCTTCTTCTTCTTCTTCTTCTTCTTCTTCTTCTTCTTCTTCTTCGTTGTCTTCTTCTTCTTCTTCTTCTTCTTCTTCTTCTTCTTCTTCTTCGTTGTCTTCTTCTTCTTCTTCTTCTTCTTCTTCTTCTTCTTCTTCTTCTTCTTCTTCTTCTTCTTCTTCGTCTTCTTCTTCGTTGTCTTCTTCTTCTTCTTCTTCTTCTTCTTCTTCTTCTTCTCCTCCTCCTAGCCCAAGCCTCCTTTTGCCGTGGCAGCACTGCGCATCAAGCTTTGTGGAACTGCCAGCCGTGCACATCTTTACTTCGTTTGGCTGGGGCGGCCAGCCATTGTGGTCCGGTAGCCCCAACCGCCTGATTCTTTTTATTTTTATTTTTTTACGCACTGGTCACAGGTCTGTTAGAGATGGTGGTAAAAGCAGACCCCTCTAGCATCCCTTTTCTTTTTAGCATCCCTTTACAAAATGAACTTGAGCCCTATCCCTGCGACAGGCTCCAATCTATTGCTGGGGAGCTGCACCTGCTGGAAAACTGGCCCAGTGTCCCTCACGAAAAGCAGGATCCATGGATTCAACAAAGGTCAAGAAATGACTCAGTCCCGTGTCGCCCGAGACGCTCTGCAGGGGGTGCTGAGGCTGTGTCGCAGAAGCCATGCCATCCCTTGTCCGGGAGGCCCCCGAAATTTTTGGATTGGCCTGATTTCGATTCTCAAGTTTGCCTGGGCGATGTACCGGTGGCTTAAGGGTGGCTCCATCAATGCTGTTCCTTTCCGGTTGGGAAGGACACACGCGCAAGTGCTTACATCCTGGTGAGTAGCTCCGCTAATTGTGGCCCATCACGATCCCCCACTAAGATACGATGGCCCTTGAACACAGACCACACTAGAAGGCAATCGTCATGTGTACAGTAAAGTAAAGTAGCTCCTGACATTTTTGTAGTGGGGACTTGTGCTCCAGAGCACACTGTTTCTAGTGTGAACAGCATTCTCACCAATATATGGAGCGGCCACCAGCAGGCCTACTAGGGAGGGCTGCTCTTATCAACCCCGCTAGCAGACCTGCTTAGGCCTTGAAAAAAAAAAGGTTTTGTTTCCCTGCTGCAGCACATTCCAGTCCCTGGTGCTTGTATTTTCATGACGGACTCCGGGCCCAGTTCCCAGCACGTGCTGCTCTCCACACAAAGTGCAGTGACACATGCTGGACACGAAAGCAAGATCCAAAGAAGTGGTGTCCAGTCTCCTTCCTGTATTTTTATTATTACGGAGCAAATCAATCAAGGGTAGCGTTGCCGAAATGCGCATGGAAAAGCACTTGGTCAAACCGAGCAACAGGAGGCTCGCACCTCCGAGGCCGGCTCGAGAGATAAAAGTCGGAACGAATGAGGATAGCGAACTCGATTATGTAGTGGCTGAACGACATGAAGGTTGGACCATTGTCCCCCCCCCCCCAAAACCCCCCTCCCAAGAAAGAAAGAATAAAAAAAAAACAAGGCTTGCTTCCCTTCTGATGTGGTGTATCTTTGCCCATCCGTCACTTAATTGTGGCAGGATATTTGGCCTGACAGTGCTGACACGGTCCCTTTCGTCTTCCTTTGTTGTTTCTTCTGTTGTATGTGCAGGGTGTGACAGTGTGACTGCTTTCGATCAGCGGACCGTCTTGCCAGGGTCATCATCAATTTCAAACATGGCTCAACAATTCTGCTGGCAAGCTCTTTTTCTTCCTGCTTTTTTTTTTTTTTTTTTTTTTTTTTTT